TCAGATCCTGGTAGGTGTTTGCACAGCACCCTCTAGCTATGGTGCTGGGACACGTTCCCCCGATCACCGACACACAGGTCTTGAGTTCAGCCCAACAGTCCAGTGGAGGTACAGGTGCTGTCACAGAGCCGACGTGTTTGTGCAACTTCCTGCCTTGCCCACCTCATTCCCTGGTGTTCTACCAAGGGGTCTTTTTGCTATCCAAAGTTTGCAATTACCCAAATAATGCAGTGGTAGGATCCAGGCGTTTGGCACGGGGAGATATATAGAAATAGCTATAGTGGACACAGTTCGTAAAAGCCACTCTGCTGCACAGCACAGAAACTCAGAGCCTGGAAGAGGCACGGCAGTGGGGTACTCCTGCTCCAAAAACTGCTCCTACCAACTGGATTTCTTTGAGCTATTTATGGCATGAGGCCCTGGGCAGTTATGACTGTGGGCAGCTGGAGCTGTGCCTTTCGTTCAGCACAGTCACACGGCTGTGGGACCACTGGTGTCCTAGATGGACGTTAGTTTTCACAAAAGAACATTTTGTCAGCTCACTTGGTGGTACTCCATCTCTTTCGGCGTTCTCTCAGATGGTGTCAGCCTTGTTAGAGGATATAAGCTTGTTCAATGCCGGCGCTGTAAAACCAGCAAATTAATCTGAGTTTGTTTTTTTTTTTTATTTATTCTTGCTGAAAGGGGATCTTATTCCCAGGCACCAGCAAGTGTTCAGCACCAACCAGTTCTTCAGCGGGGTAAGAATTCCAGACCCAGAGAGCATGGTAAGAGCTCCCTCCAGACACGCTTCCCCCGAACCTCGCGCTAACCAGCAATCTGTCTGCAGTGCTGAGGAGACACGGTGTTTGGACAGAGAAACGTTCCTGCTTCTTTTTACCCAGAGTACACGTGCTGTCTGCTTTGGAAGCACAGCTGGAAAAACCTCGCTTGCTCAGCTTGACCAGTCCTTTGCTGCGCAGCATTTCTTCCCTATCCAAAAGCTTTGCCCTCTACTTTGCCCATGTGCACCAGAATATTATTTGGAGGTGGCTGAATCCCTCTCATGACATTTTAACTGATACCCTGTGTAAAAGCAGTCAAACGAATGCTTAATCTCTGCTCCTTCTCCCCATTTCTGGTGGCCCAGCAGCCAACCTCCCCATCCATCCTCAGCAGTGCCAGGCAGCTCCCCTCTAAACACATGAAGTGACAGATGCATGTGGTGAGGTACAGGTCACGTTCTTGGGAAAGCTGGTTCTCCGTACCCTGATGAATGAAAAGCTTGTTAATATGAGGACATTCCCTTTTTTTTTCTCTCCAGGAGCCATTAGAAATGAAATTCCCAAGTATTTCATACTCTGCTTTAGCTCTCATGAAGGTAAGAAAACTACAGCTGGTGGAGGAGCTCTGCACTGAGACTTAGCAAATGCAGTCTGTTTTGCTTATCAGCTGGTAAATGGTTTGAGAGTTGGCTACTCTATCAGAGCTTCAGGAAAAATAGAGCTGGAGGGGATTTGGAGACAACTTTTAATCCACTCCTCTCTAATCCACTGATCTTTACCATGGAGGTGGAAAAGCCATATATTATTCCCGTATTAAGATGCAGTGAATGGAAACAGTGAGGATGGAGACATTAAAAAGAAGGTGCCGCCGTGGACGGTATTCGCTAGGCCGAACACCAGAACAGCGCAGCTAGTGCCATAGTGGATTCTCCCGTTTCAGAAAGTTGTTCTAGCTCAAATGAAAGTTATGAGCTTAACTGTTTTTTGAGGCTTGCTGGTTTGCTACCCCGTACTATAGTAACTGCCCCTCTAGCCGCCATTTCTATTACCGCCTTGTGGCAGGTGTTCAGTTTAGCTGCTTTTCCA